TGGAGGGAAAGGTGGGAAAGTGGTGTTGTGGCTGTAAGTGTGAGCTGAACCCCAAGTAGTCGGGGTTAGGGGTGAGGTGTGTGGTGGGATGTTGTGAATCCCTGGTGGTGGGGAGATCGGGTGCATTGGGGTGCTACTGGTCGAGGCTGTTTTTCGCTGCACCGTACTGATTGCTGTACCGATGATGCCTGTTGGCATTGTTGTATGCCACTGAGGCTGTGTCGGCTTGTACATGGTTGCACAATGGGGCACTACAATTGCCTGTGACTGCAAAAGCTGCACATGGAACATGCATGAGCAACATGGTTGGCTTGAGTGTCAACATCAACTTGTGCGATGCATCCAGCATGCAGCTGCATCGACTCTTCTTTGGCTCAAAAGCGGTGTCGGAGCAAATGCTTGATTGCAAACAGCTATGTGCAACGGGATTCAGGCCTGGAAGAAAATATACTCGAGAGTGAAAGGAAGACACGGAAGAAAAAGAAGAAAGCAACATCACTGAATGAGGCCGAATCCAACGATGCTGAAATGCCCCGAGTGGAATCCCCACTTCTCTGGGGTCCGCACGACACCCTTTCGCCCCACGATGAAAGCTTCTCTGTACATGTCCCGATACGTCATCTTGTAATGCTGATACTTAGTCCGTATTGTCCCGATGACGATCACTCCCTGTTGGCCCTTGGGCCGCCGTGTACATTGATCGGTAACTATATGTACCGTGCTTTCCGATACATCTCCTGGGGTCGCATTCCCGTATATGACGCAAGAGGGAATGGGTGGATAGGACTTGTCGTCGAAGCAATGGCTGACTGAACTTGGGCGGACCAAGTCCTCGCGCATTATGCGCGCGGCACTTGCAATGCTCGTGCCGTGTCCGGCGGTGTAGATGTATGTTTCCCCTGGTGGGTCGGTGGCACGAGTGCCGAATGCTCTGCGAGTCTCTCCAGCCCACGGGATGAATAACATAGTATGTACGCCGTCCGATATTGGCGTCAGCGTTGCCCCCAGTTCGTTGCACGCTGATCGCGTGCCCGACTGTAGCACGGCATGTGCAAATTCGGCTAAAGTCTCCTGCCTGAAATCGCTGTCAGCAGCTATCTCGCCCAAGGTTTTGGCGAGTTTATGTGCTTCTTCCATGTCGACAGCGTGGGGGGTCGGCTTTTCATGATCGTAAAGCTCAGAGAAAGGCGCCACATCAATCTGTGGTGGTCTGCTCTGTTTGCCCAGTTGTTCGAGGGTTGGCTGACCCGATGGGGCAGCAGTTGTGGATGCATCAAAAATCGGGGCAGGTGTCCGAATAGAGCTGGAGGGATTGTGCTGAACCTGTTGGCGAGAGGGTGTGCCCTGGCTTGTTGGGGGCTGCTGTTGTGCTGTTTGGCTGCCCTTGATGCGAAGGGCGATTCGCTGAACCTGCGAGGCCAATGTCCTTTGTGGGACCTTGGGTGGGGTAGGTGGCCTCTGACGTGGCTGTGTGGCTCTGTAATGCCACTTGTTGGCATCATCATCACGCACTGTAGAATAGCTACGGAGCACAACCGAGGTCCGCGGAGGTGTCGACGAAGATTGTCTGGTGTCCCTGCGAGAACGACTTCTGCGAGTGTCGCGGGATCGGTGGTGTCTGCGTCGGTGGTGGTGTCTCCCGCTGCTTGCTGGTCGTGCTCTGCTGCGTGTGCGACGTCGGCGCCTAGTGCTCACGGTGCGAGTTCTGCTGCGTGTGGGTGAGCGCCGTCGCCTGCGTGGCAACGGAGGATGGTGGGGAGAAGTACGTGCTGCAAACTGGTCGGTGTCTGCCGATCCCGTAGCCGGGGGTGGTTGTGTGGGTGGCAATGTGCTGACGGAGGGGGTGTTGGCTGTGTTTGTTGGTTGTTGTTGGGGAGTCATTGCCGGTGTCTGCGGGGCAATGTGTGTGGCATCGGTAGTGGGAACACTGGTGGGGTGAAGTTGTGAAGCTTGTTGGAGTGTTGTTGGCGGCGGTATGTGGGGTTGTTGAGCGGGTTGTGTGGAAGGGATGTTGCAAGGTGCAGGTTGGGGTTGTGGAGCAGGTGGTGTAAAAGGAAGGTTGTATGTGGTAGGCTGGGGCTGATGCGGTGTCAGAGTTGATGGGCTCGTGGGAAAAACTGTTGGATGGGTAGGCAATAGAGCAGGGTTCAGGAAAGTGGGGGGGTGTTGTGACATGAATTGCTGGGGTGGAGGTTGTTGTGGCATCTGGGGTTGTGGTGTGCTGAGATGTGTATATACCGTCGGATGCTGTGGAATAGGAGCAGTGTGTCCACACGGCATCATGGGGAAGCTGTGCGTCTGCTCAACAGGAATCGTAGTGGGTTGTGTCGGCAGTGTGGGCTGCTGAGTGGCAGCAATGCCAGTTGGCATCATTGCTGGGTAGCTTTGTGACTGCGGTACCCAGGTGTTCGGGTGAAATTGATTCAGCACCGGTCGGGCTGTTGGTGCATATGGTGTTGCTGGTGGCTGCGCGGCAAAATAATCCGGCCACATAGCTGCAACGAAGTGGGTGAAACAAACACAGTTGCACAAGCAAAGTGCAGGCTGTCCTGGTTGTCCCTGCTGGACTGATTTGAGAGGTCGTAGACGGAGAGAAGGAAGAGGGCCGAGTACTCTCCGAAGAGAGCGCTGTTTCACTTGCTGTAGACACTGTTACCGCGTCTGCACTCATGTCAGATGCACATGCCCTTGCGGTCCCTGAGGAATAAAGAAGCGGTAGAATAGAGGGCAGACTAGCGAGGTAGCACCTGCTCACTAGACGCACTTTACTGCATTAGCCGTCCCTTACTGCACCTGCACTCATGTCAGACTCACATGCGAGCATCAGAGAGAGAGAGATAAAGTAGCATCGGGAGATTCTGAACGATCTGAACGAAGGCTGAACACCCGGTTCATCACCGGTCTCCCCGGAGGGTCACCACGGCGCCATGACGGAAAGCCGTTGCTCTGGAGTCTCAACGACCCACGCTGATCACACTGATGGATTCGGCCAAGAGTACGAGTGCAAGAGGAAAAGAGAGAGGCATGTTGTTCATGTTGCAAAGTTTTGTCAGATTGTGGCAACCGTACAACTTGTTTGTCTAATCTGGACACCACAGGGGGCCTGTCCTCAAAACTAATCTTGGCACCACAGGGGGCTGCCATGCAGGTACACAGGACTGATCAGGTCCCGCTTCCCACTTGCATCCACAGCTTCGTTGAGTGTGGTAGGACGCAAGTGCCACACTCCCCTGCAACAGTTGATTTGGTAAATGTCCAATGCCGGATTATGTTGAAAAGCGAAATTGCAAACAGTGTAGGAGTGACCCTCTGCTCCCATGTGCTAGGGAGGTACACACA